TTAGCTAAGCCTCCAGCTCTTGATTGCAGTCTTGCAGTCGTGAGATTGAACCCTGCATTGGGATCTGCACGAGCATGGAGACTGCTTGGGATACTCTCTCTCCCTCTCTCCCTGCCCCTTCTCTGCTTGTGCGCTCTCTCTCTCTGACACGAAATAAACAGAAAAATGCAATAGGTCTTTTTAAATAGATCTCGTATCCAGCATTCTTACTAAACTCATTTTAGTTCTAGTCCATGGGATTGTCTTAATAGAAAATTACAGTAACCTCAAACACTGACCATTTTACTTCTTTGCTCCCACTGTAGATGTCTTTTGCTGCTTTTTTCCTTCCTCTTTGTACTAGCTAGCACCTGCCATGTAAGGTTGAATAAAAATGTGAGAAAAGATATCCTTGTCTTATCATTGATTTTAGGGTCAAAACATCCAGTCCGTATTCATGACAAGTACTATGAATTTGATGTGTGTATCTTTTCCTTGCTATCTCGAATACTTTTTCTGGGCTGAGGAAAAGCAATTTTGGAAGTTTTAGTAACACTAAGACGTGATTATACTAGATATTAATATTCTTAGCACTCAAGATTCATATATTTAATTGCATGCTTTTAAAATAAGAAGAGGTTGGAATTTAACATTTTCTTATTAATAAGCAAAATTGGTTCAAGCAGTACAAATTGCTACTGGAACTCTCTTTTTTGACAATTTTGTGGGTAGGCTTCAGGGTTTATAATGTGTGTTCCTAAATAAAAGTATATTTTGTAAACCTATTTATTCACTGGTGTGTGTGTGTGTGTGTGTGTGTTAGTGTGTGTGTGTGTTTATATAGCAATGTCAGAAATGTTGGAAGAAATACCTTCCCTATGTATCCTTAATTTCTTCTCGATAGTATTTTCTGACCATAAAATACTATTATCCTGATTTTTACAAATATGATTTTTTTTTTTTACTAACACCAAAGTAATACATCCTCACTATAAAAACTGTTTTTGGAAATTCAGAGAAGTACAAAGAAAATAAAAATTACTGCCAAATTTTTATCTTACCAAAATATTTTAAAAATATTTTGATGTACATGTTTCATAATCACACATACTTACACATGATTATGTATATGAAAAGACACATACATACATACTTTTTAATTTGGTGCTATGCTGTATAGAAAACTTTAGATATTAACTCCTGCTTCCAGTTATGACAAAGCTTCTTATATCATACAAACCCTTGCTGTTATGAGCTACCAGAGAAGTTAAGAAAGAAAGCCAACAGCTGTTTGAAGAAATTGGGGAGTAACCAAGAGAGCTGGGATTGAGGGACCAGATTGAAGTAGAGAGAGGGAGAAGGATAGGAAACACAGAAACGAGCATGAAGGTCTAACAAACATGTAATTGGAGTCCCAGTAGGAGCAAAGAGAGAGAATTGGGCAGAATGGTGACTGAAAGAGTGAATGCTGATGGGTTTCCAAAATTGGAAAAAAAAAAAAATCAAGTCACAGATGTAGAAGCTTTACAAAATCCAAACCCGCATAAATGGAAAGAAAACCACTCCTAGCCATCTTAGTTTGTCTGCCAAAAGACAAAATCAAAGACAGAATTTAAGGACAGTTCTAGAAAAAAAGGCAAAGTAACCTAAAGAGCTATAGTAAGACAGGAAACCACTTTTCCAATGGAAACAACGAGGGCAAAAAGAAACTGTCATCAAAACTGCTGAAATGAAAAACCTGAAAATCTAGAATTTCATATCAATTTTTATTTCAGCAGTTTAAATAAAAACATGTAGAACTAATCAGTTAATGAAGTGTGGGAAACTGAATAATAAAAGAATTAATTTTAATCCAAAAGAACATAAGAAGGGGGGATGAAAACAAGAGAAACTGAGAACAAAGAATAACATAGGTGGCAAACCCAAATATTAATATTAAAAACATTATGAACTAAATATTCCAATTCAATGACAAATATTGTCAGTTTGGATCAAAAAACCTTTATTATGTTTATATGGGACACATTTTAAACATTAGGACATAGAGAGTTTAAAGTAAAAAGATTTAAGAAAAGATATTCTTTGATAATACTGAGAAATAGCTGCAATACTAATAAACAAAAGAGACTATCTACAACAAGTAGTAACCCAGTTAAAGAAAGGTATTTTATAATGATAAAAGAGTCCATGCCACTGGAAAAGATAACAATCTTAAATTGATGTGCACCTTTAAAAAAATGGCTCAGGGACGCCTGGGTGGCTCAGTCGGTTAAGCGTCTGATTTTGGCTCAGGTCATGATCTCACAGTTCATGGGTTTGAGCCCCGCATCAGGCTCTGTGCTGACAGCTCAGAGCCTGGAGCCTGTTTCGGAGTCTATGTCTCCCTCTGTCTCTGCCCCTCCCCTGCTCATGCTGTCTCTCTCTCAGAAATAAATAAAACATTAAAAAAATTTAAAAAATTAAAAAATAAAAAATGGCTCAAATTATGTAGTAAAAAATTAACAAAATTAAAAGCATACAGAAACATATATTCATTGATTGGTGGGTTTTTTTATACAATATCTGTCAGTAACTGATAAAGCAATCAGATAAAGATACCAATAGAGAGAGAAGATTTAAGGAACATAATGATAAATTTGACTAGTTGACACTAGTTTGGCATGCAATGAATGCAGCATACACATTATTCTCAAGCATACACAGAAGAATTTGGAAAAATAGCCATATACTGGGCAATATTTCAACAAATACCCATGAACTGAAATCACCTTGAGAATGTACTCTGTCTACAGTGTAATTAAGCTAGAAATTAATAACTTGAAAAACTGGAAAATCTCCAAATATTTGAAAACGAAGCAACTACATACATATATATGTATACATCCACATATATACATACACACAGATATACATGTATGTATAATCTGTGTATTATACATATGTTTTATATATATTATGTATAGCCTTTGTTTGTTTCTTTCACTTAGCATTAGATAGTGCTTTCTCAGATATTTTGCCCCATGGACATAGCCTGACTTTCCTGTCATTTTCTTCACACAAAGTGTGAAACCGCAGGGAGTCTAATTATGCAAAGACTAGTAAAAAGAGAATGAGCGAGCACTGGGTGTTATATGGAAACCAACTTGACAATAAACTATTTGTAAAAAAAAAATTATCTGCCTTACTTAAAAAATAAATAATATTAAATTTAAAAAAAAAAAGGGAATGAGTGGGTAAAGAAAGCCCTTGTATTCCTGCATCCAGAGAGTTTTTTCCACTGGCTACGTCCAGCCTCCTCCTCAGTATCTTGGCTTCTCTAAAAATGCCTCACAAGAGACCACAAATGCACCTTATTTGGACTCTTGCTTGCTTTTGTGGGAAGGAAATTTGTTTGAAGGAAGCAGGGGAGAGTCCCGTGTTTTAATTTGCTGCTCTCCCGAAGGGAAGGGAAGGTGGGGAAGAAATAGGAAGCAGAGAGAGCCAGTACTGGGTTGGTTTCATCCCGTCCCGGAAGGTGCGGTGCCTCGGGCGACTTCTCCTCTCCGTGGAGGAAGAACTCGCGGCTCCGACACTGAGGCACCGAGTCCGATCTGCCCTTACTCTGCCTCTCTCGGCCACAGCCCTGCGAAGGCGGGGTGAGGTCCCTTCCCGGAGAATCGGGAACGTGTGTGTCAGAATCAGGACAGTGTGTTGAACAACCGAAAACATTTTAGGAGACGGGCATGAAGTCGTGGTGCCCTAACACATGTAGCCACTATATACATATACACATAACAGAGAGAGAGGCTAACGTACCTCAAACCGTGGGCCGTTGTTACTAACGGTCTTGTACCTGTGTTAGAGTATTAAGGTGTTAAGGGGTTGATTTGCACTTTAAAACTGCATTCGCTTCTCGCTCCTCTGTGCAGCGATGCAGTATAAATGTAACTTAAAATTTGAAATTACTTTAGCTCATTTGGAGTAGGGTTTGTTTTTTTTTTTAAAGTAGAATGGGAGCCTTAACCGCGTTGCTCTTTTAAAATAGACCACGCCCCCCGTCCTCCCCCCCCCCGCTTTGTTTCTCCTTAATTCTTTTTTTTTTTTTTTAAATGTTTTATTCATTTCTAGGAGAGAGAGAGACAGCGTGAGCAGGGGAGGGTCAGAGAGAGAGGGAGTCACAGACTGAAACAGGCTCCAGGTTCTGAGCTGGCAGTCAGCACAGAGCCCGACGCGGGGCCCGAACCCACGAACCGCGAGATCATGACCTAAGCGAAAGTCGGACGCTCAACCGACTAAGCCACCCAGGCGCCCCTGTTTCTCCTTAATTCTTAACAGGAGAGCTGTTGGTTTATTAATGTAATCAACACGGAAGGAAAAAGGATCGGTGCGAAACGCCGCTCCCGGCCGCTGGGGTGGGGGCGGGGCGGGGGGCGGTCGGGTCAGCGAGCGCGGTCGCGGCTGCGCGGCGGCTCCCGGAGCTGCGGGGCCAGCAGTCTACACCCGCGGAGACGCGCGCTGCCGCCCGGGGCCGAAGCGGGGAGGCGGGCCCTCGGCCGGGAGGCGGGGTTGGGGGGGGGGGTTCCCGTCCCGGAACCGCTGCGGGAAAGGCGGCCTCTCCCCTGCCGGCCGGGTGATTCCTCTGCGGGGGGACGCACGGCCGCGGGGACACCCGCGTCGGCCAGGGGCGCCTTAAAGCGGAGGCGGCGGGTTTGTATTTTTCCTCGGAAGGGTAAGGACTGCTTCCTCCGTCGCACTTTGTTCGACGTACCCCGCGGGCTGCGGGAAGATTTCAACACGTGGCAGGGAGCGATCACGTGGGGCCCGTCCGGGTCGTCGCGCCACCTCTCCCCGCCCCCTCGGAACCGCACGTCTCCCTGTCGTTGCCCGTCGGTCGTCCCCACCCGACCTCCCAATTCGGTGTTGCCGGCGACCCCGCGCGAGGAGGAGGGAGCGCGCCGCCGCCGGGGGAGCCACGGGAGCTGGACGCGGGCTGGGGGCGCGGCGGAGGAGACGCGGTCGCCGGCTCCCCTGCCCTCGCCGGCATGCTCAACGAGTCCTTCTCCGAGCCGGGGCCGGCCAACGGGTCGTGCCCGGGGCCCGCGCTGGGCTGCCCCAACGCGTCCAGCCCGCCGCCGCCGCCGCCGCCGCTGCCGCCGCCGCTGGCCGTGGCCGTGCCGGTCGTCTACGCGGCGATCTGCGCGGTGGGGCTGGCTGGCAACTCCGCAGTGCTGTACGTGCTGCTGCGGGCGCCCCGCATGCGGACCGTCACCAACCTGTTCATCCTCAACCTGGCCATCGCCGACGAGCTCTTCACGCTCGTGCTGCCCATCAACATCGCCGACTTCCTGCTGCAGCGGTGGCCCTTCGGGGAGCTCATGTGCAAGCTCATCGTGGCCATCGACCAGTACAACACGTTCTCCAGCCTCTACTTCCTCACGGTCATGAGCGCCGACCGCTACCTGGTGGTGCTGGCCACGGCCGAGTCGCGCCGGGTGGCTGGGCGCACGTACGGCGCGGCGCGCGCGGTGAGCCTGGCCGTGTGGGCGCTCGTGACGCTGGTCGTGCTGCCCTTCGCGGTCTTCGCCCGGCTGGACGACGAGCAGGGCCGGCGCCAGTGCGTGCTGGTCTTCCCGCAGCCCGAGGCCTTCTGGTGGCGCGCGAGCCGCCTCTACACGCTGGTGCTCGGCTTCGCCATCCCCGTGTCCGCCATCTGCGTCCTGTACGGCGTCCTGCTGTGCAGGCTGCGCGCCATGCGGCTGGACAGCCACGCCAAGGCCCTGGACCGCGCCAAGAAGCGGGTGACTCTCCTGGTGGTCGTGATCCTGGCGGTGTGCCTCCTCTGCTGGACGCCCTACCACCTGAGCACCGTGGTGGCGCTCACCACCGACCTCCCGCAGACGCCGCTCATCATCGCCGTCTCCTACTTCATCACCAGCCTGAGCTACGCCAACAGCTGCCTCAACCCCTTCCTCTACGCCTTCCTGGACGACGGCTTCCGCAGGAGCCTGCGCCAGCTGCTGGCCTGCCGCGCCGCCGCCTGACTCCCGCGTCCCGCCCGGCGCGCCCTGCGCCCCGGCCGGTGCCCAGGGAGCCGGTGCCCACGGCTCCCGGGCCTCCCCGAACCGCAGTCTCCCGCCCTCAACCCCGGAAGCGTGCTAGAGACGCAGATTCTTGGGCTCCGGCGCAGACCTGGGGAACCGGACGCGCCAGGGCTGCGCCCGAATTTGAATTTGCTAAGCCGTCCAGATGGTGTGGGAGCACAGTGAGGGTTGGGACTGTTGCGGCCGAGAACGCACGCTCACGTCGCTCTAATTCCAAAGGACACCGAGGCGACCCCCGGCGTCTGACAGGGGACGGGAGGAAGGGGGGGCAGTAGTGCTGGGAACCCTCTGCCCCTTCCCCCTCTCTCCCGCCGCCCAAGGCGTCCGCAACCCAGGCTGTAGGTGCAGCCCTCGGCTTTATCCCAGGACCCGGCTGCAGGAGGCTGGAGATGCAGCCGGCGCCCCCAGGCGTCCGCCCCGCGCTCGCCCTGCACCTTGCTTCTTCGACTTCCGGCAGTGACTGTCTGTGCTTTGGCTCAAGCCTGCGACCAGCCTGGCCAGGACCTCTGTCTAGTCCTTCGTCCCTCGCCCTCATCGCTGGGGAAGTGAGTCAAGTCTCGTGCGTTCCGCGCCCACTCCTCCGAGGTGCTGGGGGCCCCGTGGAGCGCGCGCGCGTGTGCGTCTAGCGGAAGCGCGGGATTTGGGTGAAGGAGGCTGGAGCTTGGCTGCGACTACCTGCAATGGTGATAAGAACAGTGATGACCCCCCCCCCCCCCCCAACCCTGCCTGTCTTAGCTCCTTTTCTCTCTGCCTTTCTCTTTTCCTGCCTCTGCTCTCACTTGAAAACGCCCCAGGACTCTCAGACTTTGGGGGAACCCGGCTCGCCCGTCCCGCAACCTCTTGGAGCCGGGAGTTTCCCAGGCGCGCGGTTGTGGCGCCCCCTTGCGGAGCCAGCTGCCCAGCGCAAAGCGTCCTAAAATCCAGCTCTGCTCCGAGCGCACCTGCTAAGCTGCACTTTACCATTCCGGGTTACCGGTCCCCGCTGCTTTCCACAAATGGCTTCGGTACTCCCACGCCCCTTGGCCCCAGATGACCTCTCATACAGCTTGGACCGGGTCGCCGCAATTCTTTGTCCGAGTATTGTGTTTCAGGACTGAGAATTTTATAAATATATATGTTTTAATGTCATAAATTTCTGTGAGTATCGAATGAGATTAAAAAGAAGTGGGCATCCGTTCCTTCGATCCCCTTCTTCTGTTCTTCATCCCTTTCGCCCAAGGGAGAGCCAGGAAGCTGAAAGGACTCACACCCTCATCTTTGCCTCTATTGGATTCCTTTCCTTAGGGAGCTATCGATTACCTAGGGTTTGTTCCTTAGTGCTAGTCAGGTAAACCCGGTAAATAATCTGGTTCTGGAATCACAAAGGAGTCTGGCCAGCACTCTACCTTTATTTTTATCTTTACTAATGGGAGACAAATGGATTAAGAGAGGGAACTGAGGCTTCGATTTGCCCAACCATCCATCTGCACTTTATGCCTCAGACATGAGGGCAAAGTCTTAACGGCCCGGAGTGACTGATTACAGTGTTTCAAAGGGCACGTTTTTCTTTGGGATGGGTTCCAGACAGGAATGAAACTTTCTAGAAATATGTTTCCTATAGTGCAGTGTTAGGCGTGAGACTGTGAATGTTCCCGGCAGGGTTTGCTTGTTTAGTTTGGTGGACATGAATTAATTTTTCATTTATTTAGGTACAAAATACCTTTCAAAAATATATAGAAAGGGAAAAGTCCCCTTTGGGTGGGAGGAAGTAAACTCCCTTTCTGATTTTGGTGAATGAGAATTGCTTCCTTCTCCCTCTGAGTTATTCAGAACAGTAATTCATAGCTATCAGTTTAAAAAATGTAAATTTAGGGGCAACCGAGTGGCTCAGTGGGTTAGGTATCTGACTTCAGCTCAGGTCATGATCTCATGGTTAGTGAGTTTGAGTCCCGCTTTGGGCTCTGTGCTGACAGCTCAGAGCCTGGAGCCTGCTTCGGCTTCTGTGTGTGTGTGTGTCTCTCTCTGCCCCTCCCCGCTGCACTCTGTCTCTCTCTCTCTCTCTCAAAAATAAATAAACATTAAAAAAACATGTAAATTTAGAAACCTTCTACCTTGTGTAACCAATAATAATAAATTGTCCAAAAACACAGGTTTAAAAAAAAACCTCCATTGCATTTTGGATGATGTACATTTGAATGGTCCTCTGCTGGTGGCCTTCAGAGACCCCTTGAAATTCATTGCAGTACCTCTGAAATATCTTGGAAACATTTTATTGATTTTCTTTATGACTCAAAATTCTTTTATGAATCTTCAGTAACTTTTGAAAATTAAAGTTTTAAGCTCAGATTTACCACCACATTCTATCCGTGGTGATGGACAAAGAATCAGGTGGATATCTGGTCACAAACACAGCCCGTTGAAGCCTGAGGATTTGAAATTTCATCTGTTTTCATAAACTCCGTCGCTGCACTTTGACATCCTCTGGACACAGAGATGGGGGGAGTTGAGTGACCCGTCTGTCCACTGTATCATCCTTACCGCAGATTTGCCCAGGGCTGTCACGGAATTATGGACAGGACTGTTGGAAAAGATGAACTGGATCACTGTGTTGGCCTCAGCAAGGCAGGGTTGGGGTGTGTGGGATTAAGTAGAACTCAGTAGTTCACTTTCACCCTGGCTTTCCAAATCACTGGATAAAGCATTGTGTCATCATTTCTAGGTTGTTGCCTTCATATTAGGATGGAGAAATCCAAATCATATGCTCCAGACTTCCTTTTCATGTCTCAGATGCGCAAACAGCCTTGTAAAAGTAGAATTTAGTCTTGCGAGGGTCTTAACCCTGTGTTGAATTCTTGCAGTGTTCATGTAAAGTGCATCGTTTAAAGAGTGATGTTTAAAAATGTCTGTTTGGTTTTAGTTACCTCAGTAAAGTTATGTAATGTGTGTGCGTAAGCTTTCTCTTGAGAGATGCAAAATGCCGCTAGTCCACATTGAGAGAAGTTCAATTTAAAATAAAAGCTGAAATGTTTTCTGTGTGATAAGTGGATGTTCCATTGCCTGTGGGAACACGGGAACCACCATTCAGTCACCCTAGTGCCTCCATGGAAAAGATATCTAATGGGTAAGCAGAGAATAAATACAAGTATTTGACAGAGCAAGATGAAGAATGAAATCTTCTTTCCCTTTATTTCGGTCGATTGTGAAAATGATGTCTAACTGCTGACTAGTATAAAAACTCTAGAACATATGCTGGGCAGAAAAAGCATGATAAGCTTCTATGTTATCACAAATCTCATTTCTTTAATATTTGAGCAACTTGTGTGGAGAGTGAGGTGGGAGAGAAACTAGTGATGTTATGTAGCTCACACGTTACTATTTGCGTTAACCGTGAGTCCAGATGTGGCTCACGTGTAAGATGGAGGGATTGACCAGAAACCCCCCGCACCTAGAGAAAGCTTTCCGTTCCTCAGCACCATACGGGGAAAACAGCAAACAGCAGCCCACCACGGAAGACACTCAACTATACTTGTCCATATTGAGAAAGAGATCCATGTCACATAATGGTCTTTTACTAGGGGAGCCTTGGATCTGGCATATTGGTCCCATTTCATGTACAGAAAAAGTAAGACACAAGAATTGGGCCCACGTGGCCAGGCACACAAACACTAATTAAGACCAGTCAGGGGCATCTAGTTTCCCTTCTAGGAACCATCTCGTCCTGCTCCAGCAGAGAGGAAGTTTATTGCAGTGTGTAAACTGGAATTATTAGACCATAGAAACCATTGATGTCTTTGAGATATTTAATGGATTAAGCAAGATATGCATACTTTTCATCATGTGATACAAAGGGAAGATAAGGGATAAGGTTTCCTGATAGAACTTAATCTTAAGTCAGATTCTTGGAGGTGTGTGGTGTTGTTAAAGTCTATATATGAATAGAAATTCCTGGGCGAGGGCTGGCCACGTTGCCCTCTCAATTGCAGAAGCACCGTATGCATCATAATCTGCGTGCTTTATGCACAGGAGCTGTGCTCTATGATGTGCCATTCTTGGAAAATAGAATGTTAATGGTACCTCTGTTTATACAGAATAGAGTGTTACAGTAGATGACGCTGTCCTTCGGTTTAGGGCAAGGTGCATTTATTTATTTATACCATACCTTCTAGGCTTACACGAAGACAGATCCCATCAATTAAAAAAATGGGGAAAGGGAAGAAAAGCGAAAATGACCTCTCTGGAGAAACTATTATGATGGATGAACTGCTTGCTTCCCACAATCCAGAACAGGATTTCTCTTTTGACAAGTATCTTCTGGCAGCAAGAGTAGTTTGCTTGCACAGCAAATGCTCAAGTGCCGTCCTTGACCAGATGTCCCACTGCCCCGTGGCCTGGGGAGTCAGCTCAGCATCTTTTCACAGAGAAAGGCATCTTTTTTCTCTAACAAAGACTGGGTGATCAGCAGAGGTGTCTAGGGGTGGTTTTTGTAATTCCAGTAGAGTTAACATACAGTCTTATGTTAGTTTCAGGTGTGCAATATAGTGATTCAGCAATTCTATACATCACTCAGTGATCATTATGGTAAATGTGCTCTTAGTCCCCTTCATCTATTTCACCCGTCCCCCCACCCACCTCCCCTCTGGCAACCAACCAACAGTCTGTTCTCTATAGTTAAGTCTGTTTTTTTTTCCTTCACCTCTTTTATCTTTGTTTTGTTTCTTAAATTCTATATATGAGTGAAATCATATGTTTTTTCTTTCTCTGAGTTATTTCACTTAGCATTATACATTCTAAATCCATCCTATGTCATGTGTACACACACACACACACACACACACACACACACACACACACACACTACTTCTTCTTTACCCATTCATCTATGGAGGGACACTTGGGTTGTTTTCATAGCTTGGCTATTGTAAATAATGCTGTAATAAACATAGTAAAGCTTGAAATCAGGA